CCAGAAAAAGTATACTATGGAACGCCATGCAAATAAGTAATATGGAACGCCATTTGTGCCAAAATCGATTTATTCTTAAGCATTTCAACTGATTAAGACAAAGATTAGGGACTGGAACCCAGTCTAATGAGGTACTTGATCGATCCGACATTCCCCAATGTTGATGTGGAGGTCTTGGCATTTTTTCCTTTGTTGAGGGGAACAAGACGATGAATTCTGTCTTGTGCTCATTTACTTTTAGAAGTTTTCGGACATCCAAGTTTTCAACTCAGAAATACAATTTCTGAGAGATTCAATCTTCATATCAAATTCTTCACCAAGTTTAAAAGAAATATAGACCTGTTTATCATCAGCATAAATATGATAAGAAAGGTTAAAATTTCACGAATACCACTGAGGTCCCAAAATTCTACCCTGAGGAATGGAATAGTTCAAAATGAAAAATTCTGATATGGAGTTGCCAAAGAAAATTCTTTGTGGACACACCAGTAGCTACAACCAGTTTAGCTGACTCTGCACTGTAAAGTTTGTGATATTAACTTTATTTACCAACGAAGACTGACCTTTGTTTATTTTGCTTGCAGACTTTTCCAATGCACATCTCAATGCTGATGTATACATATGCTTTGCCAAATAACTGATAATAGTTGTACCAAACTAAAAGACAAACATAAAATAAAGTCAGGGATTACAAACATACCAACATATACACATAACTAACAACAATAACATGTCATGCCATTAGCTGCATATATTTAATAATTTTATACATAAAGATTACATATTTCAATGTTTTTTAATGATGATTTTCAAGTAAAACCATGCATACAATATAATAATTAAAAAGACAGCTTCATTTCTTCTAAGAAAAAATTTCTATTTTTCTATTTATATTTTCAAGCAAGACTAATTGTGATACAATATAACATTGATTTGCCAACAATATAACCAGTTAACAGTATAAATTAATCTATAAACAGGATTATCCCTCACATTAAAAAAAAATTCTTATTTATATACTATATTTTGAAATGATGATCATAGGCTGGCTACTCAGTTTTAAATAAAACAATAAAAATTTCACTGTTAGTCCAGAATGAAATAATTAACTATAATTTACTGAGTTAATTAGTTTATACTGGTATATTATATGTTTTTTTTTTTTAAATAACATACAATGCTATTGAATTTCATTTACCGAGGTTTCATATTCTATATTCCTTACTGTTGCTTTTTCAACCATCAGTAGCATCAAGTCTTCAGGTGCCGGGGGAGCACGTGTCATAGCATATAATGATGGTGGTCGCTATAAAACAAACATAAAAATAACAACATACTGTACATGCATTATCAAAATTTAAATCGTTGCTAGGTGTGACTCATTATTCACAAAATTGTAAGCAATCTATATAGGGTAAAGACACACATGAAAACATTCCTAATAATTCACCCCTTCTAAAATTCAGTGTAAATTAGGGTTGAGGGGATCAGCTTACACCAGATCAGAAAATGCAGGTACAGTAATCTCAAAAATATACTGGCAAGGCCAACTAACATTTTAATGCTCTTCCCCACACACAAAATGTTTGCTAGGGTTTTGTGGTCAATCATGGTCCACCATAAAGTACAACTTTTAGGAAATGTTGGAAAAAAAATCTTACTCTACCGTAGTAATGGGAAAAAAACAGTTTACTGCAGTAGAATTGTAAAAGAGTTGTACCTTTGTTGTGAAATTGATGTGGTTATGTTTTTAACTCTTGTTCATTTATATTCACTGCACTGATTTGTAGTGGCCACAATATCTTGGCAATGACAAGCCAAGATTTGCTACAGTGCTGTTTTGGCAATTTTGTTGTTTTCCATTTTAGCAAAAAAAGTTGGGTTTGGCTGGGAATCAGTTGTGAGGATAAAGAACATATTGGAAGGGAACTGGGTAGGATGGGGAAAGAATGTAAATTTGTCTGTGCAAACGTTGAACTCACTGTACAAAGAACAGTTACACAGATGGACCATCATAAGCACTGAATCCTCCTAGCTGAGGATACTACACAAGCCGTGGCCTACACAAGCCTCACACAGCTAATAATTACTAAAACTAAAGCTCTGTCCACACTATCAAATGTTCTTTGACAAAAAAACTGTTGTATGCCCATATATAGTCATCATGTGCCCAAATATGGTCACATTGTGATGTCATCATCACCATATTTGGGCATGTCACATGTTTTTGTGAAATAAAATTTTAGAGTCTAGACAGGCCTTAAGGCAATGTTTGGGACTACAGTAACTTTAGGCCTGAAGTGAATAACTAATAAAATGATAATTCATCACTAAATCACACCCAGAATTGTATATAATCAGCTGAATACACACCAAACTGCTGTAAGTGTTAATAAGGTTGGGATGTTCTTCACAGATACGTCTTGCTTCATGCCAGTTACGGTGTGTAATAGCCTTAAATAACACATTTCTGTGAAATAATACACAAGCAAAGTTTGTAACTGAATCTTACAGTATATTTTCCTTTGACATGATAATTAATACAGACTACTTTTAATAATAGTGAATGATGAATTTTAATATTTGACATCATCACCAGGTATCAGGTATCATCACCATATCCAGGGGGTGTGATGGGTGCTCGTACATCCCCCAAATCAGGAAAGGTCTGTATTCTTAAGACAATTGAGACTGTACTTCCTTAAAATTGCAATCCTGGACATGGCCCGATCACATATTGTCATTGTTAACAAAATTTACGAAAATATTTTAATAAAAACAGTTTTTATATTTTAATTAAAACAGTTTTCATTAACATGAAAACAAAATATAGATGTAATAAAGTACAGTAGTACTAAAACCAAACTTTATGCTTATTTTTTTTATCTATGTTGCAAGTCAAAAACATCTTTGTTTTGGATAAGCCTAAAAAGAAATCCATATATACATATTGATCCAGATGAATTGATCATAAAATAACATGCCGATCCATTAAACTAGAATCATTTTGAAAGATATTTTGTTCTATCCGAATTGTTCAATGGTACAGTACAATCCCTGTCTCTTATACACATCTAGATGTGTATAAGAGACAGGTTGGTAGGTGGACTCATTTTTTACAAAATTGTAAGCAATCTGTATAGTGTAAGACACACATAAAAACGTTCCTAATTCACCCCTTCTAATACTCAGTGTAAATTAGGGTTGATGGGATCAGCTTACACCAGGGGATCAGAAAACGCAAGTACAGTAATTTCAAAAATAAATGCTGGCAAGGCCAACTAACACTTTAATGCCCTTCCCCA